AACGAAGAAAATTTTAAAGATAAATTATTATACCATTAGCACTCCTACTGGCCTGGAAGATGTATCAAGATACCCTCAATTACTGGCGACGCTGTTAGAGGATCCATCGTGGACCGAAGAAGACATCAAAAAATTAGCTGGCCTCAATTTACTAAGGGTATTCGCTAAAGTCGAACAGGTATTGGCAGGCGATGTCTTCAAGGAATAACCTTTGACCTCTTTTTATTAAAACACATATATACACGGTTCTATTGATTTGCCTAATTTTACAAAGATTAAAAGATACAATCCTCTTTGGATGATACAATAGATATTATCACACATGCACATGCACGTACACGTACACACACACAGATACACACACACATATATATTTTAATATAAATGTATAAAAGAATTTTTCCTTTTTTTTTTTCCTCATCTTTAAAAGATAATAATCCTGTAAATTGTATCACTTCGTATCAATAGATATTAACGCACGTTTAAATTTGTATTTATATCGATTTATATTGATTTGTTTAAATTGTAAAAGAATTTCAAGATGTAATCTATTAAGTTTCATTCTGAAATTAATTTAATAATTAGTAAAAAGAAAAAGGAAAAGAAAAAAAAAAAAAGAAAAATATTCAATTGCTTCGTTGAAAGCGAAGTCGAATGAAACGATAAAATCGTCGAAATCATTGAGAATAATATGTCCTTTAATCAGCGAATAAGTTCTAACAATTATCTTCACACACACACACACTCTCTCTCTCTCTCTTTTTCTCTTAGGTACGCGATGAATGGCACAGAGCTGCGGTTTTACCAGTGGATAAAATTAGTCCACCAGATAATTCGGCCTGTGCATACGGAGCATCCTGATCCTCTTCCTTACGTGCGTTGACATCAGGATATTTGGAGTTCATACGATCGTCGAAAATACGACATGCCTTGCGCTTCTATAAGACCTATTAAGAAGTGCAAACATAAGGGAAGAAAAGAAAAGAAAAGAAAAGGAAAGAAAAGAAAAGAAAAGAAAAGAAAAGAAACCGAGAGTTTGTTCCTTTATGAAAAAAAAAGAAACACAAAAAAAAACAAAAAAAAAAAAAACTCCTTCCTGGTCTTCCAAAGACCCTATCGCGCCTTAATGGAAAAAAAAAAAGAAAGATTGATGGTTATTACATAATCTGGGAAAAAAAAAAACGAACACCTTCAGAACATGTACGTTTCCTCTGTCAACGACTATCTCTTTCTATTTCCTCTAACTAAAATATAATACGACGAATATATAGTGAGATTTTATTTTAATTTTCATCAATTTTCATGTGTGAGTTATCTTCTTTTATATATACATATAAATATACATACGTATACATTTAAATCACGTAGAAAATTCTTCTAACAAAATGCTCACACATTTGATAACATTTTATTAATACGTTCTGAAGGTGTATTATATACATGTGTATATGCATGCAAGGATCAATGTCCTTTCGTGAATGACTTCCATAGATGCGGACAATCGACAATGACAGAATCACTTTTTTTTTTTGAGAGAGAGAAAGAGAAAGAGAGAGAGAGAGAGAGAGAGAGAGAGAGAGAGAGAGAGAAAGAGAGAGAAATGAACCAGCGCCAGGCCCGGCGATTTTAAAAAGAGTCTGAGACTAATGATTTTTTTATACTTTTATCTTCGAGTAAGTAATCCAATAAGCTCTGCGACGATGAGAATCTAATCTACATGTAATTGGTAGGATACACGCGATATATTCGATTTCTGTGCGTAAGGAATTTTACGAAAAATCAATTCGAACGTAAATCAATTTGTATATATATATATATATATATAGATATATATATATACCTACGTATTGCAATAAGAAGAAAGAATTTATTTGTAATATTTGTCAAAGTTAACTTCTTCTTCATTTTTCTACTGCCGGGAAGGATCATTAGAGATACCATTAATACGTGCAATACAAGGTACAAAGTTTGACCAGTTGACACACAATTTATTAAATATACGTCGAATGATCGAAGTTGAACCAAAAGAAAAAAAAAAAGAAAAAAAAGAAAAAAGAAAAAAAAAAGAAAATAAGCAAGAAAAAAGAAGGTAAGAAAAGAAATAAGAAAGAATATAAATTAAATGCTTTTAATATTAAGTTCGAGGCAACAGTGGAAAATCGTTATCACATATCTTAATAATTTAACATTTGGCTTCCATTGTGCTTCTAATTCTTTAATCAGTATTCCAAAAGTCTGGTATTAAGAAGCTCACGTTTACCTTCGAGCATAACCATTAGCATGAATTAATCGATCGGATTATATTGAAAGGTACATAGTGAAGAAACAATTTTATAATTAGAAAAATAAATTCTAATGACTCGCTTCTGTTAGTGAAAGAAAACAATAAGAAAGAAAAAAAAAAGGAAAAAAGAAAAAACGAAAAAAGAAAGAAAGAAAAAAATGTCTAATTCTATCCATGTAGGTATGTTAGCTTTACCTTTGAAAAAAATTACTTTAACAGACTAGTATAATGAAGATCGACCTATTAACGTCATCATCAACATTAAACACTGCCGAGCCGCACCATTCATTCTATAATAATATCCTTCAAAATATCAACATCATTCGAAATAAACTATTAATAAATTAACGTACCAACAGTTTTGAAGCTAGCAATAAATATTTAATTTCGTGCCAATGAAGAAGAAAAAAAAAGAAAAGAGAAAAATGGTCGCGGCGTTTGAAATGTTTCTAATACGTCTTGTATAATAAAACTACAACCTACGCACTTTCATACGCATAAATCATACGTAACTTAATAATATCGAGTGAGATAAACGATTAAGTATTCTAATTTCTTATAATTAAATTTTGAAACTTATTACGTTCGTATCCAATTGTTTATTTTATAATAATATGTCATTTATATGTTTTTATTGTAAATAATCCTATGTAAAATTAGAGAAGAAATATATTTCACATTTTATTACTGAACCATTTAAAAGAAAAAAAAAAAAAAAAAAGAAACAAAAAAAAAACAAAAAAAAGAAAAAGAAAGAAAAATAAGACGATAACTTAATCGTTTATTGTAACTTTTGCAAAATAGTATGCATGAATAATCGATAAGAGTCGGTAATGATAAATATGTATTATGTGAGTAGAGAAAAGAATCGGAAGGATTAATGCTATATACAATGTGTATGTGTATGTATGTGTGTATATGTGTGTGTGTGTATATATATATATATATGTATATATATATATATGTATATATATACATACGTATACACATATTATACTTACGTATGTATGAGAATGTAATTAACATTTCATTTACATGACATTTTGTCATTTAAAATGTCAAACATACCAATAATGCATGAGAACCTTATACGAGTCTGGAAGTATATTTTACTGTTTATAAAGCGCCTTTTTTTTATTCGAAAAAGAATGTTTTCAAGATGACCTTAACGAAATATCACGATAATATTATAAAGAAGGCGTTCGAGAACATATTTACACATATAAATGAAAGATAAATAACAACAAAAATGAAATGAAAAGAAATGGAAAATAGAACACAAATAATAATGAGATCATGTATAGCCTAGACCCTAGTCTGTCATAGCTTTTACGATATTTCCACTTTTCTTACTTTTTTGGATAAAGCACACGGTTCGTTGCGCGTGCGAGGTATTTTGTATTAGGTACCTATATTCAATACTATTTTTTCTCTATACAGTATATCATATTGAAATTAGAACTTACTCGATTATCTTGAATAATCGAAAATATGTAGTGAAAGAGAAGAAAAAAAAAACAAAAAAAAAAAAGAAAAAAAAAAAAAAAAAAAAAGAAATAGAAAAAGAAAAAGAAACACATATTTCTTTTCATCGAGTTTAATGATTATTAAAATTGTATATGAATCGAGTGGGATATAATTCCAATAGAGATATTCTGTATAGATGAAAGAGAAAAGGAAAAAAGCTATGCGCCTTCAACGACTCGTAACAAAAAAAGAAAGAAGAAAAAAAAAAGAACAAAAAAGAAAACAAAAAAAAAGGGAAAAAATAAGAGAGAAAAAGAAAAAAAAGAGAGACACACGTTTTATGAAGTTTTGACATGATGAAACTTGATCGATCGACGGGATATATTGGATAAACAATTTTGATAAACCGACGAGATATTACAATTTTGTCAGAACTGTAAGTACCTACCATTAAATCACGCGCGATTTATAAGAAACGTATTGTTCACTATTTTCTTGCAAAAAAATTAGAGAATTTCGGAAACGATTAAACTGTAGTAAGTACACTTTTCTCTCGAAGTATAGATAACAAGTAAAAAAAAAAAAAAAAGAAAAAAAAAAAGGAAAGGAAAAAAAAGAGAAGAAGCAAAAAAGGAAAAGGAGGAAAAAAGAAAGAAAGAAAGAAAGAAAGAAATAAAAGAAAAAGAAAATGAGGACGAAGACGGTAGAGAAAAATGATGATGATGATGATGATGATGATGATGATGATGATGATGATGATGATGATGATGATGAAAATGAGAAAAATGAAAAGACAGAATAAAAGGCTTGGCATTTCCTTAAGGCTGATAAAAAAAAATAAATAATATTTAACACGGACACGATGAAAGGCAAAGAGTTAATTGCAATTGACGATAAATTTCTTAGTAAAAATGCAAACGCAGACAGATTAACATTAGCAGCAGCAATAAAGTGCACGCAAACGTAGTCGACAATTAATAGCATAAAATATTGAACGATTTATAATTCGTAAAGGATAAGTCTAAATAAAATAAATATTAATGCAATCAAGATATATCAGACGTCGTCCTTTCGACGTGATAAAAGAAGAAGAAAAAAAAAAGAAGAAAAAAATAGGAGACGAAGAAGAAGAAGAAGAAGAAGAAGAAGAAGAAGAAGAAGAAGAAGAAGAAGAAGAAGAAGAAGAAGAAGAAGATATAGATTTAAAAAAGAGGAGAGTAGGAGGAGGAGAAGGAAGATGAAAAAAAAAAAAAGAAGATGCATTAAATAAGCATGAGATCATTTCTTTTTTGCGGCGATACCTCTGCATATTCCATAGAATAATAATTCGCTTCGATATTAAATATTATTAATGATTAAAGAAACAAAAGGGAAAAAGTTTGCACGTTGCATTATCACGCAGCAAAAGCGTATAATTAGTTTTCCTTCGAGCAAGAACATTTAACGATATTATATACCTCGAGAGAGACCTCGAAGAAGTCTCGTCGTACACGAGATATCAAAGAAATATTTCAAATTAATCCTTCGAGAGAAACGCTGATACGTGAAAGAGAAAAGGACACAAAAGAGAAAAAAAAAAAAAGAAAGAAGAGGAACAAATAATAATAATAATAATAAAAAAAAAAAAAAAAAAAAAAAAGAAGAAGAAGAAAAAAAAAGAAAAGAAAATCAAGAATAATGAAATCATTCGGAATGAACGTTAAGATATTATGAATTATGTGTGATAATGTAAAGGAGTAAAAAGTTGAAATGAAAATTTGAATATGAAAATGTTATATTTAAATTGAACAAGCAACGTTTGTTGTACGTGTAGGATGTGCTCGTTCAAATGTGTCTCGCAAATTATGTATTAACGAATAATATGCACGTACATATATATGTTGTATCCTGTTATTAAGAAAATTACGAAAAGATTTTTAATCGAACATTTTTCGTGAGGCATAATCGTAAGGATATCATCAGTCACGCATGCGTAGATTAAGATCTTTCTTTTTCTTTCTTTCTTCTTTCTTTTTTTTTTTCTTTTTTTTACCTGTTCTTCTTCTTTTTTTTTTCTTTTTTTTGTTTTCTCTAAAATCAACGGATGCTGAGAGACAAAAGAAAGAGAGAGAGAGAGAGAGAGAGAGAGAGAGAAAGAGAGAGAGAGAGAGAGTGAGAGAGAGAGAACAGACAAAATGTGAAGATGTAAGAACGTAGACGAGGAACGTAGAAATATGAAAAAAGAATGATATTACAAGGATATATTCGGATCTGTGAATTTGGTATTACAAGGAAACTTTGATTTTAAATGAAAGAAGACATTAAATATGATATGTTTGTAAGGTATTAAAGATTTCTGAACGAGCAACATTAAAAAAAAAAAAAAAAAAAAAAATAATAAAAAATAAATAAATAAATAAATAAATAAATGAAATTACGACAAAACTTTATACTATTGAAATGAGACGAAAGGTGATTTGATTCTACAATTTTTATGATATCAAAGAGTTATAGAGGATAAAAAAAAACAAAACAAAACAATTACTATTAATTTTCAAGGATAATATTAAGGAGATAATGAAAAATCTTTTTTTTTTTTCTTTCCATTTCGTTCCACCTTTAGGTCGAAAAGTTTAGTAGTCAAAATAAAAAATTGTTTTGAACAAAATGATGCAACGAGAAACATTAAATATATTACAAACGTAATATATCAAATATCTTTCTGTCATTTGAGATCATTTGATTTCATTTAAATTTCAAATTTATAAATCTGAATACTTCCTTGTTAGCGAAAGAAGAAACCTCAACGTATTTAGCATAAATAACACACAACTGCCTAGAAACTCAGAATTAATACTAATTAATAATATATTGTACGGATTATATTATATATATATACATACATATATATATATATATATATATATATATATATATATATATATATATATATACAATTAATAACGATATGTCCAAACGCACAAAAGACAAGTTTGGCAAGGCAAGATAAGAACATAATGTACATAAAGAATATATATGACGATAACCCAATCAAGATGTACATAATGATGAGGAGAGAAGAGATCCATTACAGGATTATACTCATAGAAAAAGAAAAAGAAAAGAAAAAAAGAAAAAAGAAAAAAAAAAAAAAAAGAAACCTTAAAGACGCGTACCCTGTCTGAGCGTATATAGACACACAGCGTTTCAATTCAGAGCGTAATTTAGTGAGAATACATATCTCTGATTACTCGTTGTGAAATGAGTTTCACGGTTGAAGTCAACTTATCTAATGTACGAACAGATTAAGCTCTTACTTTTCTCGATGAAGGAGAGAACAAAAAAAAAAAAAAAGAAAAAATTATTCCAAGGTTTCAACTACATTCAAATTGTTCTCCTTTAATTTTTTATCATTTTTATTATTATATATATATATATATATATATATATATATATATATATCATATATATACATTATTATATAATATATATGTGTGTATATATATATATATATATATTTGTTTATTTGTTTATTTCTCATTTTAATTATTGCATAATTATTGTATACAAAAATTTAGTGCCAAGTTATTTAGTGCCAATTCAATAATTTAGTGCCAAAATATTAAAAATTTCTTTTTCTTCATTTTCACGCGATTGTCTTTAATTAATGAAAATAAACAAAAAGAAAAAAGAAAACAAAAAAAAAAGGGGAAAAAAACGAAATGAAAGAACAGGCGCATTTAGAAAAATTTCTCGAGCTATATGACGTTTCTATTATGCAAAAGAAACCTTTTAAAAGGTCTTAGCTATGAAAGACACAATGCGAATTCAGAAGACGTAGGTAAATGCTTTTAGGAAGATGTGGATAAAACATTATATAACGAGTAACAACTAAGGGAAAGACGTATAGACGAAGATCGAACAGACTATGGAAATTTAGATATTATAGAAAGTTTTAATAAATGAATTATTAACGCTATGAAAAAAATCATTCTATTATTAATTGACCCTTCTTCCTTTTTCTTTTTTTTTTTTTTTCAACAGTGATACATATACAATACTATACAATAAATATTCTATACAATTATGTTGTTCCTATATTTTATTCTTATATGAAAAATTATATATATATATATATATATATATATATATATATAATTTTTATTTAAAATATTTAAGACTATTTTAAATTCTAATACTTAAAAATTTTCATCTTAGGGTCATTGACTTTGCGCAAATTGGCGATCTTTGATTACGTAAAATCAAACGTCTGATTGACTTCTGATTATTATTTAATCGGTTTTTCTTTCCATTGTGACTAATAAATACAAAAGTCTTTTTAAGAATGTATTTTTTGCAAATATCAATGATGACTTAAAGTAAAATATATTTGTATATATTTCCTTGAATAATTTATACAGTTATTTATTGTAACAGAGATATTAATTATTTTGTTTGTATTTTTCTATTTCAAAAATTCATTGTAATCGCGCAAAAATTCATAGCAATGAAGTAATCGAGACTTTATTTCGCTAAAATTAAAATATCACGAAATCACGAAGCAATGTTTGTTCGTTCGCGTTTTGCGATTTAAACAACGTTGTGTTTTTTACATCGACTGTTTGTGCAATGTAATCATTAGAGTCAATATTTGTTCGCAAAATTTTTTAATTTTTTAACAATCACACAGACTTTATTTATGAAAGACAATAGAATTAAAATGCGAAGTAATATCAGTGATCGATCGTTAAAAAATAATTATTATCACGTAATAGAATTCAGTGCATCATTGAAGAAGAGATCTCGATCAACTTCAATGTCGACCTATTTCATTTTCAACCAGTTATGAATCATCCACCCTGAATTTTGACCTAAATCGCGGACAAGTATTTTGGAGCCATTGGAAAACTTCTTAAGTAGTAAATGAATGTTTAAGTCTCTTCGATCACTCAATCATGTCAAGGACGAAAGATCCAAATTCGTATAAGTGATCGGTTGTAATGATTGTAATTAATTAATAAAAAAATATTGAGTGATTTATTTATTAGATCAGGATACGGATATTTTCTTGTTCAAATGTATTCATAATTATTAATTTTGAATATATTAATTCATTTCTAAATATTTTACTAGAATGGAAATAATCAAAGAATCTTTATTCCGTTAATTTTAATAAAGAATGAACAAGAAAACATTAGCGATAAATAATCTCTGAATTACAAACGAATAATATACATTAAAGTATTAACACTTTATATTCTCAATAATACTTCTATTGACAAATAGATAAGATATAGTTAAATTTAAAATTAATTTCTTTAAATTCGCAAATTTATATACTAATTATTATATGTGTTAATTATATTTATTATTCTTTATGCTTTTATCGTGAAATAAATACGTACGAGCGTCTCTAACATGGATCACTACGAAACATATACTATCATCAAAGAAAAATATTATACATACGAAAGATTGAAAAGTGAGTTTACAATTTACTAAACTACTTACTCTACTCACACGAAACCAATTGTACTGTCGTGAAAAAGAAAAATAACCAATATAACCAAAACACTGATACAACATGATGGAAACAACGTTCTCCATTTGTAGTTTATATTTTATTTACTGAAGTCATATACGCTTAGAAAAAAGATAATGAATGAGCCTTAATGTATACAAAAATAATTTGGATTATAATAAAAAGGAATTAGTTTTATTGGTTATGTTGTAACATTAAAGTGATTGGTAGATTGCTCATCATTAAAACGCTTCTGATTGGACAAACTTGCTAGTAGATTTTATGATCCACCAATAAACAAGTACATCGTATGTTACTTATTTAAAACTCACCCAAGTGTATTAAAAGTTTATGTATGCATATGTCCTTTATGATTGTGAGTTGCAAGATTTGACAGATTGTTGTTCTTTCCTATTTGCAATGAACGTTTAAAAGTAAAGAGATAGTGAAATTAATCATTTTGAAGTGATAATCTCTTCAACGTATCGTAATGGATACTGATATACGTGCAGTATTGTATAAAAATTGGAAGAAGCGAGTAAGAGATATTCATTCTTATATTCGATGAATTAATAAATTTCATTTTAAGTATTATAATTACTCATTGCTTATATATACGTTTCCTATTTATGAGTCATTAATGATTTCAATCTTTACTTGCAATGTAGATATAGATGTTATATGTATATATATATATTAATAAATTTCATTTTAAGTATTATAATTACTCATTGCTTGTATATACGTTTCCTATTTATGAGTCATTAATGACTCTAATCTTTACTTGCAATGTAGATATAGATGTTATATGTATGTATATATATATATATATATATATGTATATACATATTGGAATGAAATAATAAGAAAATAAAAAATAATTTACTTTTTATCCTGCAATGTTAAATATATATATATATAAAATACATACAAAAGTTTGTAAAACATATAAAATTTTAATGCATAGGAGTAAATATTTTTAATTCCATTGATATATGTAATATTAATGAAATTATAATCAAACGTTTTATCATATTATAAAAATTATTTAAAAATCAACATATATAATATCTAATATAGATTTTCATACAAAAAATTCTATACTATATATTTGACTCAGACATTCCTTTCTTTTCCTTAAGGCTTTTATAGGTCCTCTTCCACAAGGCTTTTTAAAATTAGAAGATCGCAATGCACAACAACAACAAGAAGCAGCTGATCAACAGGCTGCATTAGCTTTGCAACAATTGCAAATGCAAAGTAATCCAATGTTACATGATCCACGTATGGGCAAACTTAGTATAACAATTGCCCAGGTTAGATTGTATTAAAAAAAAAAAAAAAAAAAAAAAATTAAACAGTTTTTATTTAAATTATAGTTCTTACAATTAATAGATAATATATTTTACAAAGCTAAAATTATGATAAATATTTTTGTACATTTGTAAAATTATAAATTACAGGCAAAATTAGTGAAAAATTATGGTATGACAAGAATGGATCCATATGTTAGGTTAAGAGTTGGTCATTCAATTTATGAAACGCATACAGATTCTAACGGAGGGAAAAATCCACGTTGGAATAAAGTTATGCAATGGTTTGTATATATATTTTTTTTTTTCTATTACATAAGATAAAATAGAGATATAAATGAAGGCATATTATTATATTTATATTATACTTTATAGTTTTTTACCACCAGGAGTTACACAAATATACATAGAGATATATGATGAATGTTCTTTTGTAATGGATGAATTAATTGCATGGGGTCATATAGATATACCACCTAAAGTTCTTCAAGGAGGTGAAACACATGAAGATTGGTATACGCTCAGTGGCAAACAAGGTGATAATTTGGAAGGCATGATCAATTTAGTTTTCAGTTATACGGTAAATGTCTTTATAAAGATATGTAAACTATGATAGATTTTATTGATTGAAAAACATTATTTTAAATTTCGTTAAATCCATTCAAAGGAATTATGCAATTATTTTTTAGGCTAAATGTCATCCATATATGCCTGGACCATCAGTAATGATGGTACCTTCTGCAAAAATGTTTAGTATGGCATCATATACACCCGTATATACATCACCTCAACCAATATCAGCAGTTACAACACCTCCTGTTATACCAAGTTTATTACCAAATGCTGAAGTTGAATTGAAACAGGTATTTTATAATATTAATATATATATGTTATTAATATATCTTGATATTGTATATAACTTTTATATTCTTTATATATTTCTAGCTTGCAGAAATGTTTCCAAATATTGATAAAGAAGTTATTAAATCGGTATACGATGTTAATCAAGGAAAAAAGGATATAACTATAAATTCATTACTTCAAATGTGTGAATGAATTTGAAAATATTTTAAAGAAAATATTCTATGGAATATGTTATATAGACTATACTGAATCAATGGCTGTATCGATGGAAACAAAAGAATATAAAGCAGATATCTGCTAATATAATGATTATAAATTTATTGATTGCTTTAACAAAAACTGTAGAATGAAAATAACAATTGATACGGGCTTTGCATGATTTCATTGTATACATTTTAAAGACCAGAAAAGTTATATGATGTGATATACATTTGCCTTCTTCTGCCTTTGCTAATGTCTCATTGTAAGATTTTTCAAAGCATCACAGATTAATTTGAAACTACAATAACATTCGATATTCTTGTCCATATTCTTTTGTGTAATATATTTCTTGTAAATTTAATATATTCCTAAATGAGTAATATTTATTTTTATTCTTATTTATACAATAAATCATTGTATAGATAATGCCAAGAAATATATAATTAAGTATTAATGTATTATGATAATGTAGTAAAGTGATGAATATAATTGAATATTGCATTTAACAGTTGCAGAAGAAGATGTACAAACATTAAAAATAATATTATATTAACTTACTTGAAATAGTATCGTTATAACAATGTTTTAGATATTATTGTCTCCAAGAATTAAGATCTTTTATATAATTTCAATATATATGTTTTTCAGTTATATAGTTTAGTAATATAATATTTATAAATCTATTATTTAATAACGCCACTAATTATTAAATATGTATTATTCTAAATATTAGTTGCCATAAAATATGATACATTTTTATGATGTCATTATCTAAAGATTTCACTTAAAAACAATTAATGAAGCTTATGAAAACAATTTGTAAGTTAACTTTCTACATAAACCGATCTAAGTACTGAAAAATATGATCTTGTATTTAGAGGATTATACAAACTACAAAAATGTATTTTCTTAGAAATATATATTATATAATTTTAATTATATACATTTTTAATTGTACTAAGGCAATAATTAATTCATTAATTAAATAATACAAAAAAATGAACGATTAATTATGTTCATAATTATAAATCTTTATATTTTTAAACCGTCTGCAATTTTTATTATTTTAAGTTGAATCTTTGACAATCATAAAATAAAATTTTCTTATATTATCATTTAATAAATAAATAATTCCATGTACATTCCGTTTAGAAGAAAAAAATATATATGCAAAATTTGTCTGTGCTTTTTTTAATATGTTCTATATTATCAGACGGAATTCGAACGCAACTTATTGTTAATAGAAGTTTAAATAATAAAAATAAGCTGGGGCTAGAAGACGATGAAGTTAACAGTTTAAATAGAACATTTTAAATGAAAAGCTAAAATTTTTAGAGTTATGAAGGAAGTCTTATAATGTTACAACTCTAAAACCATTGTCCAAAAAATGCTACACAATGATTCAAAAGAATCAAGATGTATTCTGATACTATTATATAGAAATAGAAAAAAGAAAAACCATATCAAGAATGGGGACTGATAAGAAATTATCAACGATGAATACTTTGATCAAGATATTCATTACATTCATATCTCATGGAGTTGCTTATAAAATTATTCAGAGATCTGGAAATGTTCTGAGACAAATTATCCTGTTCATGAAAGAGAAGAAAGCATCGGATATCGGTTTAAACACGAGAACATTGACTATTCAAAGAATAGTTGCTTCTATTTTGCATTACTTTGCATTATATTAGTAATGACCTCAGAATATCAGCCAAAGTTTGCCAAAGTTAGTGCTGCTTGATTCAGATTTTTTCAAGTCCCTATGATGACTTCTATGATATATCTTCAGGATCAACAGCACGAGTAGCTGTTTTGCTACTGATCGCAATGGAAAAAAAAAAAATTAAAGAATACAAAAAAAAACACTTGATTTTATCTGTAGATTTCACAAATGTGAAGCTGTCAAAATCCCTTGTAAAAGGCATCATAACAGAAAAATACACTCTTACAAACTTACCTGCTTGTCATTGCTGACATTGAGATGTGTAAAAAAAAGAACAAAAGGAAAATGAGAAACCCAAAGATCAAAATCTGGAAAAGATTCTCAAACTGTTCTAAGCCCCAGCATTCGAAATCCTAACACCAATGACGACTATGGCTATTCTTTAAACGGACTATGCTATTATTAACAATTGTTAGATGCAAAATCTAATATTTGTCAACAATTACAGAATTCCATATGAAATATATATATATATATATTTCAAATACAAATTAGAAAATATAATATTGAAACAATGCACTTCCACTTTTTAACAATTATATAATAATAATCGAAATATTATCCTGATCCAATTGACATATATTACGCAAATTTTGATACAGATTAACTTTTATTATATCGATATATTATATCAATATATTATATCAAATGAATATATTATAAGTATAAGAAAGGTTCATATGTAACAAAACTAATTAAACATACTTAGGAATGTTAATTTTTAATAAAATGTTCGTTGTTCCAATATATGACTTATCATGTTCCATGCTTTTTTATTTACTCATTTTAAATACTTATTATTATTTATTTATTATAAATACTTATCATTAATACTATTTAATTATATATATATATATATATATATATATATATAATTAAATATATATATTATATATATATTTAATATATTAATTATATATCGGTCCTATCATATATATATATATATATATATATATATATATATATATAAAATTTATTAATTATATATATAATAATAACAAATAGAAAAATTTTAATTAATAATAATGCATTAATAATACAAAAAAAAAATTATTTTTTCACTATAAAATTTCTCTTTCAAACTGAGCAACTTTTATTCTACTTATCGTTTTATATATTCTAATAAAAGGGATGTTCAAAAAATAATGCCTATATATTTATATATTTAATTATAACATCTTGACGAAATCTATATATATATATATCTAAAAAAAAAAACGATAACGCTTTATTACAATTATATAATTATAAATAAAGAAAGATATATTATCTGAATATAATAATTAAATTGATAACTGATTAACTTAAAGTATCGTCGTCATTCCTGTAATTATAATATAATGCGATATACATATGTATGAACATAATTAATTATTTAATCGTATTTTAAAGCCGTCTGTGTTTTCGTTTTAATAAATGTCTTCTGCTAGAATTAATTTTCTTGTCCGTCGATATTGGAACGAAAGATATACTGTATGGCGGTATATCCGTTTGATTGCATTGTTTTTGTTCCATAGGAAACATATACTCCAAATCTATATCATACCTGTTAACACAATGTATATTTTTTATTAAATCAATAATCATACGTTATGCGCATTTATTCATCGTAAAAAAATATTTGTCTTCTAATTCAATCATT